AAGGGGGAGCATGGGCAATATACGTAACCCTAACATGTGTACCCCCATAATATGTTGAAATAAAAAAAATTTAAAATAAATAAATAAAAACTAAACACAAAATACATGCATTCTCAAAGGAAGATAAGTAGGTTAATTTGAATGCAACCCCACTGCCTAGTTTGTGCTTCCCTAAGGAGGATGTGGCTGTATCACTGTGACTTCTCCAACAGTGACAGGATCACCTTGCTGTCCTGTGAGCATTAGGTTGAGAAAGTCCACACAAAGCACAAAGTAGCAGCACAATAAATATTAGCTATGTTATTACTGTCATTTAATCCTGGGTGAGTCTCATCATAACCACACCTCCCCTAGGAAAATGGCAAAGAGAGCTGGGCAGGAGACAGGATGGGGAGGAAGAGCAACGATGGCATGCTGCCTGTTTTAATAAGTGCAAACAATAAGATATCTCCACTGGTCCAACATCTTTCCAGCAATGGACTTGGCTTACACGTTGGGAGTCAAATATCCTCTAAAGTCTAAATTGGCAAAATGATTTTTTTAAAACAATGTAAAAAATGCAATATTAAAAAATAACTGGCCAGGCGCTGTGGCTCACGCCTGTGATCCTAACACTCTGGGAGGCTGAGGCGGGCAGACTGCTCGAGGTCAGGAGTTGAAACCCAGCCTGAGCAAGAGCAAGACTCCGTCTCTACTATAAATACAAAGAAAGTAATTGGCCAACTAATATATATAGAAAAAAATTAGCTGGGCATGGTGGTACATGCCTGTAGTCCCAGCTACTCGGAAGGCTGGGGCAGCAGGATTGCTTGAGCCCAGGAGTTTGAAGTTACTGTGAACTAGGCTGACGCCACGGCACTCACTCTAGTCTGGGCAACAAAGTGAGACTCTGTGTCAAAATAAAGAAATAACAATAAAAATAAAGATAAAAAATAACTGCAGCTTCCTTAGCCAAATATGATTAAATTTTACAAATAAAGTCAACTGTAGAATGTACTTCAGTAAAATACAATTTTTTTCCCCAGAGACTTGGTTACAATGAAGTCAGGAATGCATGAAAACAGCAGAACAGAATCTATCTGATGCTAAAGAGGCTGAGGTGACAGCCAGGGCAGTGGTGTCACACCTTGGTGCTGAAGGACCAATTACCTCTGACATTTGATGTGCTCCTTCAACAAGAGGACTTGCTTTAAGGTTCTGATCAGGAAAAATTAATGCACTAATTTCAGTGAATCAAAGTTGTCTAATAAAATTTATAAGATAGAATTGTTTAACTATATTTTATACTACATAAAAAGTATAGATGACATATAAACTATTTAATGTATAGTTTATAGTTTAGGGGCCTTAATTTCTGCTTCAACGGATGCTATCCAGAGCCATTATTTGTGGTATATTATCATATCGTAACAAATGATCCGCTTGACTTGAGAATTCTAAGTTGTAAGGCCCAAGAAAAGTTATTACAGCAGGCGCTCCCTGTAACTGACCTCCACTGGACAACTTCCTGGATTGAGCACTGCTCACCATCCCTGTCTGTAAAGCAATGGCCCTAGGCTAGCAGTCAATCTCTAGTGCCACACACATTTTCTGCTCCTATCAGCTGGACTTTATGCTGACAAAGAGTCTGCGTGGTGTTCTCCCAAACCTGTTTAAGCCCATTGACTTCTTTTAATTATGAAATTTAATTAATTATGCAAGCTGATAAAATATAAGTACAAAAGATAAATGCTGTTTCTATAAAAACTAAGTTGAAGGATTTGGAAAGAGTAAAGGCAAGTCACTAAAAAGAAAGCTGTTGGATTAGATGTGGGCAAGACAGCTATAAAAAAATGAGAAAAAACTTACAAAACCTAAGATTCTATACTCAGATTGCTTTGCTAGTGTCTATGATTTTGCTCTTGTGGTTTATACTATTTAATACAACGTAGAACTCAAAAAAGTAGAATCATCGTCAAAGAAAAGATCCTAGCTTCACAAGAATTTGAAAATATTTTATATGTTTTTTTTTATTTCAGCATATTATGAGAGTACAAATTTTAAGGTTTCAAATAATGCTCTTTCCTCCTCTCCCCCAACAAGTCTGAGTTTCTAGTGCAACCATCCCCCAGACGGTGCACATCTCACTCATTACGTATGTATATACCCGCCCCCCCTGCCCTATACCCAATTACTGTAGTTCCTATGTGTCCACTTAGGTGCTGCTCAGTTAATACCAGTTTGCTGGTGAGTATATGTGGTGCTTGTTTTTCCATTCTTGGGATACTTCACTTAGTAGTATGGGTTCCAGCTCTAACCAGGAAAATATAAGATGTGCTATATCACCGTTGTTTCTTAGAGCTGAATAGTACTCCATGGTATACATATACCACATTTTATTAATCCACTCTTGGATTGATGGGCACTTGGGTTGTTTCCACAGCTTTGCAATTATGAATTGTGCTGCTATAAACATTCGAGTGCAGGTGTCTTTTTTGTAGAGTGTCAATGGATCTTTTGGGTATGATGCCCAGTAATGGGATTGCTGTTTTAATGAAAATATTTCAGATATGCACACTTTTTAACAATTTCCTGCTTTAATTGATATTTTCAATTAACCAGTTCCAATTATGTTGGGATAAAAGAGTATTTTCCATGCTTCAAATTAGTAAATACTGGATTAATGGCTTTTAAATTTATAAGGTATTATGAATAAGCAGGATTACTCGGGAATCTAGGTGTTCAAATTTTTATTCCATATTTTTGAAAGATAAAATACTTGAAATAACATTTCCCTTCTCTTTAGTCTAACATAGCAAAGCTCAGAGAACAGTGATTAAGAACATGACTCTGCTCAGACAGCCTGGCTCCAGCATTTACTGGCTCCATGTGGGCATCTCTTAAGCACTTAAGCCCCATTTTTCTCATCTGGAAAATGGGATTAACAAAAGTACCTACCTGATGGATATCAAGAGGTTGAAATGAGAAAATGTGACATAGCAAATGCTTATTAGCACAGTGCCTGGTACATAAGTGCTCAAAAACATTTACTATGAATATTATTATATTGTCTAATAGGGGAAAATATCCATTGTTACATAAATAAGATCATAGTTAATATGTTCAACGCAATGTCAGTGTTAGTTACAGGTGGAAGCAAGATGGCCTCCATCTATAGACAACTCACAAACACCTGTAGAAAATTTCTCCAGGTACAGTAAAGCAGGCATTCTCAGCTAGGGGCAATTTTACCTCTTAAGGGACACCTGGCAGTACCTGCAGACATTTTAGCTGTCATAACTGGGGGGATGGGTAGAACCTACTGGCATCTAGGGTGTAGAGGCCAAGGATGCTACTAAACATCCCACAATGCACAGGACAGCCCTCCATCCCAGCCCAACAATAAATTATCTGGTCCCAAATGCCCAACTGGCAAGAATAGGAAATCTCTCTAGAGGAGAGTATAACAGAGGTATGATTTCTAAAATTTGAACTCCAGAAAATTATTTAGAGATAAATATTGATTAAAAATGAAAATTGGGATTTTTATTATCATATTGATTCCAGGACCTAAGCCACAGATCTCTAAGAATGAGACATGAATATTTAGCAATAAATAAGATTCTTTCAGTCACTAAGCCTTCTTGAATGGGGTCCATCACATAATAATCTGCAGATAAATTTTATTCTGAAGTGAACAATATTATACAGCTATAATGAGCACTAGATAGGAAACCAAACTTCATTCAGAAGGATAAATCTAAGTAACATTCAAAACCCTAAACAGTGGAAATCAAAACATCTCTAGAGTAGTTCGCAGACAGGGAGCCTCTCACCACAGGCCTCTTTACCTGGCTGCAGAGATTACTCATCTAGCTAACGGACCACAGGTGTATCCTTCCTTGGCGATCACCCTGTTTCCCAGCTTGAATACCTGGATGGCTTAAACTCATCCTTTAATAATGCTGCTCAAAAACATTATCAGAAAGCTCCTAAGAGTTCGCTTATACCCTTTACTTTTGAAAAAAATCAAAGTGCCTTTCGTAAAAGTATGAGGGAAAAAACTGTGTACAAAGTATAATTTCAACTACTTATATATACCAGAAAAGATTAGAAAGGAAGTGGCCAACATGTATGTCAAGCGTAATTCTGTCTTCAGTGCCTTTTTTATTCAAATCAAAGTCCTGGATTTGATTCTCGACGCTGAGACTTACTGGCTCTGTGACTTTTGTCAAATAATGTACTTTGTTTTCACAGAAGTTCATGTGAAATGGATTGGAATATATAATAATTCCCATCTACTGATGAAAATGTTAACATAGCAAAGAAATGGTCCTGTACTTACTGCAAAAGTATTTAAAAATGAAAGATAGCATTAAAATTTTTACAATCCTTAAAAAAAAAGCTATATTTAAAATATTTTCAACTTTATACGTCTAACCCTAAAGGTGACACAGCAAGTTTTGCACACAACAAAGACTATACTTACATCCACAAAATCAAAGGAGTTTTTTATTTTAAAAATATTTTAGACATTTATATACATGAAAGGAGAAAGTAACAAAAGAAAAAAACCACAAAAAGAAATAAATTGCAAATAACTATCTTACCATCAAGAAAGATAAGGAATTCATGCAAATCATGTCACATTGCTATAAAACTTTATAGAACTCTACTTTTTGTCAGAGAGTACAGCAAAAGAAAATTTAAAGGGGGGGGCGCAAAAACCTACCTAATGGGTACAATGAACGCTATATTTGGGTGATTGGCACACCTATAGCTGTGACTCAAGCATTAGTAAAAGTGATCCATGTAACCTAAAACATTTGTACCCCTTTAACATTTTGAAATGAAAAAAAGGGCACAATCACAGTGGTCTCCACATTTTAAGGATCAGTCTCTAGTACTAGTAACAAAAATAGCTGAGCATGGATAATTAATGTATGTGTAATTATCTAATAAGTATATATCCAAATAATAAAATAAATAAATAAATAAATAAATAAAGGATCTCTACTCACCCTTCTGGTAGAAAAATTTCCTATAGTAGTAGGCGCCAAGATCCACGTGTTCCACAATGTATCTTTTCACTCTATCTAGATGCAACACCAAATTTTCCTTGGGCACTTCAAGTACTGCCACTCCTGCATTTGTGCAATGGGAGCTAAGGGTAGACTCAAAGGAGGCACTTTCACATCCACTAAAGGAGCCAGAATTGGATTTGGAAAGGCTGATTTTCCTTTCGCCTTCTCCACCTATCTCATTCCGAAAATAGGGACAGCTCATTACAAGCTCATTGCTTTTATCATCTCCCTGGTCCATGCTGAGGCTTCCTTTGGAATTCAGGTCCTCGGTGCTGCCCATCGGGGAGCTAAAGCTGGCGGAATGAGACAAAGGCCCGGAGACCAGGGATGCCACGGCGGCCGCCGACGCCCCGGTGGTGGTGTTCCTCCTCTTGATCACATTGTGCCTGTTCATAATCGCCTCGTTCAGGTCGAATAATATGCTCTGGACATCATAGTGGGCAAAGCACTTGGGGCACGTCCAGGGCCTGACGGAGGAGTCTTCCGACCGGTTGTCTTCCAGGTCCGACGACTTCCCGAGGTCCTCGCCTTTGGCATTGCGCAACTTGCGGAAGATGGAGGAGTCGCCAGTTTCCGACTTGGAGCGGCGCTTGAGTGGTTTGTCCCTCTCCTTAAAGAGCCTGAGGTTCTCTCTCTGTGAGAGAGGCCCGTCAATCACGTCCAAGGAGAAACCGGAACCCTTGCCGCCGCCGGCGATGAGGAAGTCGCTGAGCTTGGTTGGCGTTGGGCCCCGATCGGGTTTGTCGTCTTTGTAGCCCTTTAACAAGTCGAAAAAGCTCTCCCCGGACGTCCCCTGCTTGTCGATGGACGACGTGCTGCCGTACTCCCTGTGCAGGGACGGGCCCGCCTTGTACGTGGGTGAGATACATTCATCGAAGCTGTCCGCGTCAAGCTCACTTATGGTGATGTCGCTGTTGCTGCGCTGCCGTATCCTGCGCAGCGCCTTCCGGGGCGAGCTGGGGTAGGCCTCGGGCATGAGGAACCGGGAGTCCATGCTCTCCGCCGGCCGCGCCTTGCTCTTGAGCGTGTTCTGGATGCTCTTCAGCATGGCCGAGTCGCTCGAGTTGAGGCTAACAGAGCTGCCCTGACTCACAGGGCTGCTTTTGGAGGACAGGCTCTCAAGGCAACTTGAGGTTTCTATTTCCTGGCTGGAACGGCTAGATTCCTTTATGTTTTCCTTGCGTGGGGGCCAGTCTGCGATCCTTGCCCTCACGCCCATTTTGGGGACTCCGGGGGTCGAGGTGATGTGGTGCGAGCCTTCACTTCGTGGGGGTCCCACCGGAGCCATGACGGAGGATCCTAAGCTGCCGTTTTGGGACCGGAAGCGTCGCATGTAGAAGTCGTCAGTGTGCACTTTGGGGGCGCCATCTGTGCCGACAACCGAGGCCCTGTCGGTGGCAACAGGCCTTTCCGTCTGCGACCGTTTCAAGCTGGTCATGATGTGAGAGCAAGCAGACTTAAATCCCTGCAGAAAGGACCGTCATATCTGTGTTTTAAATGTGCACTTCCCTTTTGGAGAATGGCTTCCAGAGAATAAAAGAGGCGCATGAGATCTTAATCTTTTTCATTTAAAAGGTAAAATGACGCCTGACTTCAAGCCACCGAAAATCCAGAACTTCAAAGCATTATAATTCACCACAGCTCCTTTGCTTCACTTTAATAGACGGCTTTCTTTCAGAAAAAGCTGAATGGAACTTGTATTACTGAGACTCTGTGATGGCCATAATCCCATGCTTTCTCTGCAAGAAGGAAGGACAGTTTGAATTAGCAAATTTGATAACTACATCTAAAAATAAATATTCAGTTGCCAAAAACAGACACATGAAAATAAAACTCAATAACAGACTGTGATTCCCAGTTCCATAATCCATATTTTCAGTAAAGCAGGTTTGAAAGAAAGGAAGAAAGTAAAACCATTTAATGAAATCCATCATTTATGTTCTAAAACAAAAAAAATACTATTAAGACTATATCTTAATTGAGCTGTTTCAATTCGATGACTGGGGAGAGAAGGGTACATCCTGTTCTAGGATATCAAGGCTGCTTCAAGCATAGGCTTTTGCTCCAATGACCTCTAATAAGGTAGGACATCAGGAGCCATTGCAATGCCCCGAACTTTGAGATGTAACCAACTGATCAGATAATTAGAGCAACACATAGTTTTTTTGACATAAGTAAAAACTGAAAAATTATTTTACTGAATATGCTACAATATTCACTTTTTAACTCCTTCTATATTTCAAAATCAATTCTTATCATTTGTTTCTTTACAAAGGCTTAACATAGTTGGCAAGAGCAAATGCAGCACAGAGAAAATAAAACGGGTTTTCCCGGAGCCATTATATCCATTAGCACTCTTCCGTATTTCCCTCTACTTTATTACTTACCCAGAGGAGGAGTTTTTCAGCATGAATCCGGCATTCACCACCTCTTCCCAGCTCTCCTTAGTTTCGTCTACTCTTAAAGCTAGAAGTATGTCACTAATGAACAAAATGCCTGCATTTCCTTACGCAGTGCAACCTCCTCCACCCCGTCAACGCTAATTTATGAAGACCGCAGAAACAAAATGCTGCTCTGGGTGGCCCTCTCCATGTCCTCCAACCGACTACAGAGAACAGTTAGCATCCTTCCAGGTGACGGGCACGAAAACGAACTTGCTCATGAGCACGTCAGGCAGGAGGCAGAGATTCTGAGTACAACATTCTGCATGGTTGCGTACATCCTGAAAAGAAAGGCAGAGGATCCTTTTCCAAGACTCCACAAATTACACAAGAGGTGGCCTTTAAATTCTTGCCAAATACATGTTTGGAAAGATGCTGCTGAACCAGCACTGAGCTGACAGGGCGGCATTGTCTACAAATCACGGCTCTGACACCCGAGGACGACCCGCGCTCGCTGCACTCTCCACTCAATAGTAACAAGCACTTACTTCCACGATAATTAAGCATCTCCCTAGTCGGCTTCCTGCCTCCAAGGCAGCCGCTTTCATTTCTCTTGCAGCACACAGCATCATTTTAGAAGACTTGCTGCTATTTAAAGGCTGGAACATTTAGGGGTGTTTCAAAAAAAAAAAAATGCATGCTGCCTGCAGAATGCAGGGCCAGGCAAGCTCCGCTGGGCTTGCCTGGCTGGGTTTGTGCAGCCAGTCAGATAAATGCCAATTGTTCTCACGAGCAGTCCTCTTCACCATCTTTTGTAAAAGAGATAATGGTTTTGCACTGCTACCTAATTAAACCTGGCTTTTGAGCTTTCTAGATACTTCTACCATCATATTGCTATGACTTCCTTTACATTCCAGAACTTTACACGCTCTCCTTGCAACTGTAAGCCTGCAAGTGGCATCACTTGCTAACTGTTGCTTCCAACAGCAGCAAAGGATAGCACACGTGGCCACAGCTAAAGTTCAAGAAGTGATCCTCATAAAATGGAAGGAAACCAATCAGCTGAACCACGCTACAAACACCTGTCCGTCTCAAAAAAACCCTATTGCAATCAAGTATCTTTCAAAGAAAGAATATACTAGCATAAAGAGTAATTCTAAGTAGACTGATAAAAATCCGATGCTTTCAATATTTCTTACAATCTCACAGAAATCCAAATAAATCATCTTTCATTCCTAGAATATTCATTCTCTAAAAGGTCAACACACCAACTCATTCTTGCCACATTTCATTTGCCTTAGGAAATGGTTTATTACAGAACTGCCTTCCTTAGGATATGTGAACTTTTATCCATTATAGGAAGAAACTAAAAGCTGGCGTGAAAACACAATAAAACTGACTTGGAAATGCACACTCTTTGCCATCAGTATTTCTCTTCCAAACCATCATATACACTTTCTATATTTTTAATGGGTTTATAAAATCTTATTTTTAAACATAAAAAATTCTTTTTAATTCAAAAGAAATGGCAAGACTCCTATTTACATTTTTAATATAATGACCACCCACTGTTTCCTTTTCATTTCAAAATGTAGATGGGAGTGAGAAGTCATGGTATAGTACTGAAGAGGTCTGAGATGGGTGGTTAAGTTAAATAGATATTTTTTCAGTTGTAAGGACTTTCCTTATATATTTTTTTCTGTTGCTTTCCCCTCTCCCTCCCTTCTTCCTTCCCTCTCTTTCCCACCCTTATTTATACCATCTAACAACCCCTTTGAAGTATAATATCAACTTTGGGCACTGACTAGCACAGGTAGGAATATGTACGCTTTGCACTTATTAAACTACCAGTCAAAAACAAAGTTGTCTGTCCATGTGTGCCATATGATGACAGATCAATAACACCTGAAAACCAACTCCTTAGGGTTGACTGAAATAGCAAACATATGTTGACGATTATTAGCACTTCTCTTAACGGCAAACTTGCCTAAGCATCATTAAATACGGTTAAAAAAAAACAATAGAATTAAACAGAAGAGCAATACTAATTTACAGCATGTCACCTCCATCTGTTGAAAGAGCAGGCTATATTAAAAAAAAAAATGCCTTATAAGAATGTTTAATTTTGCAGCTCTAGATGCTATTTAAGTCTGTGGTAGAGCCACGTAGCCGGAATACTAATCCCATCTCCAGGGCCTGGAGTTTATTCAATGAGTTCAGTTCTATTAGTTGACAGTCTTTTTCATCACTCAAGGCCTATCACAACCTAACGCACTACCCTTTGGTGATAATGCCACTCTTCCGGAAGAAGTGCTTCTTCCTCTCTTCTAAACCATCGCCGGCATTTCTGCAGTCTCTTCTGAAGACAGACCACACAGCCAGCGCTAGGAACGTTTGAGGGGACAGTCCCTCCCTTCAGGGGAAGCTCCACATGAGGTGGGGAGACTAAGGAAGGTACAAAAGCGACAGGGATAAGAAGGAGGCTGTCACACCACCTCCCTGTACACATCCCGTTCTGACAGTAAGCTCTTTAATAATTGGAGCTATCTCCTGGTGGGACTAGTTGTAGCACGGCAGCCTAGCCATTCAAAATATCAAGTCCCCAAAAGTGCTCAAAGTTGAGAAAATCCCTAGGGATATCCTAATTGCTAAAAACAGTGCTTGTCATTCTGGCCCTGTGTGGCATCTGCACTCTTGCTTCCTCCCTCCTTCCCGAAACTCTCTTCTCTTGACCTCTGTAATACCCATGCGCTTCTTCGTTTTTTTGTTCTTTCTTTCTGCCCACTACTCAGTATCATTAATGGGCTCCATTTAAAAGCTAGTGATCCTACGGTAGGTAGCCTTAGTTTACTTCTCATACCATTTTTCAAATTCATAATATCCATATATAAAGGGTATTACTATCAGGATGCAGTGAGCATTGGGTGCATTGGGATGAGACAGCAGACGTGGGCACACTCAAATGAAAATATTACTATGGAAAGCAGGGTGTTGATCTGGTTGGAACACAGTTGTCTGTGCAACTGAACAACGACAGAATAATGCAATTATTAGGTGGAAATTGCATGGTAAGTAGCACTATCTGGAGATATCGCAGGTGCCTGCAGCTGTAAATATCATCTCTACACTGTTACCTCCAAAGCTCTGGTCATGACCCTCTCTGCTAAACTCCAGATAAAATATGCAGGTGCTCATTTAACATCTTCCTTATTTATCTATTTTATACAATGAATTAACTAATGAAAAAAATCAATTTTTAAAGAAATGAATGAGTGGTAAGGAAGTGAGCACAATAAATAATTCAAGGAACTGAATGAAAGGAACAACACAGGAAACTTTCTTTGTGCCAAGGGCAGACAGAGCAGTTTAAAGGTTACACAAGAAGATGTGGGAAGCAGGTGGGGCTGGGGGAACACTGCCATTCCTGTTCTGAAATAATTACAATGCAATATGGTAGATTCACCAAAAAAGATGTAGCGTTCCTCATTAAATACTTCCAGATTCCAAAATGAGACGCTGTCAGATTCTTTAACTGGCATAGCCTCAAATACAAGGCTAGTTCTCAAGGTTTCAGGGTGACAGAAAGAATTCTGCTGATGAATATTCAAATACCCCCATAATTCAGGGATAAACACTATACAAGCATGTAAATAGTTTTTGGAGTTGTGTGCACAGATTTAGAATGCCTGTAAATATTCCTACTTGAGAATGTAATAGGACACTTTATTTTAAAACAAATATCACAGTGCTTGAATATTAGATTAGCTAAGATAATCAAATAAGGCAAACCATCTTCTTTCCATCCCTTCTTGGCTTTCCTGAATTTCACTCACATTCCATAAAAGTAACATCTCAGACAGAAGAGAAGTTCTACTCTTTCAAGTTAGCCTGAAAGACATGAATATCTCAGTGCAATGTTATGGATAATTTAAGATTTATGAATCAGCACATAACTTTTTAGACTGGAATGCCCCCCTTCTTTAGTTTCCATTCTCTCCCTTCAAAAAAAAGTAAGAAGAATTGAGAAAAACAGTTGATAAATCTAGTTCCGTTCCTGCTCTCCGAATTGTTCCAAATATTTGAAAAGGGCTGATGGAGACCAAGTAGATTCAAAACACTTGGTGCTGAAATTAACAAAGTGAATAAGGAAGTTACAGATACAAAACATGTAACAGGATAAAGTTACATTTAACTTTAGAGATAAGAAAGCAATTTAAAATGTGCCTGTTTGGCAAGAGTAAGGATCAAAAGGGAGGATCATGTTTACCCCCCCCCCCAACTAAACAAGTTCAATGAGGAAGTTACATTGCAACCGGCTTAGTAAAGCTTGAATATACTTTTATACAGCTATGGGTGAATGAAAGAACATGAAAATTTGGCAGAAAGCTTGATGGCAAGGGCGGGATGATAGAATAAAGAAGGTATGTAGCAAGTTATGTGGTGAAATTACTGGCGAATAGTAAATTGATTCCATAGATGGCAAAATAAAGGAGAAGAATAGAAATGCATGTGAATATTTACCTCTTAAATTTAAATATGACTAAACTCCTACAATAAGCAATTGATAAAATGCCAAAGACTTAGGTTTTGGGAGCTTAAAGTAGGACAAAGGGTAGAAAGAGTAAAAGGTAGTAAGTAGAAAGGTAAAAGTGCATCAGAATTACTAGAGAAAATTACTAAGCATTTGAGGTCCAATAAATTAACATTTCAAAGGAAAAGGAACCAGAGCTCACCAACTCATCAGGGACACAGTGTTTCCATGCATAACACTAGAATATCTAGAGACCAGACTAGACAAATGAAGCAAATGGGTGTTTTTAATTGTACTAATTTGTACACTAATATTCATTTAAAATATCTTTAAAAACTTATTCACTATAAATTGTGATCAACGCTGTAAACTGTGATCTAGAACCAAAAAACTAATTACCAAATATGATCTGGTATCAAACAACTTATCATAAAATATAATCTGGGGAAAGGGGAGCATGAGAAATGGATACCAGAAAGACAACCAGTAAAGAAATATCCAGTATACAAGGGGAAATGCTTGTCAGTTTTCCCAAACTGCTCAAATCCTTCAAGTTACTAACGAACAAAAAAGGTTTCCATAATTAAATAAGGCAGGGACATACTTCATATCTCTTTTCTTAGGACATCGTGATACATGTTAGTATCATATATTAAAGCTCCCATGAAATCTGCAGTTTGGGTCAGGCATGGTGGCTCACACCTATAACCTTAGCACTTTGGGAGGCCAAGGTGAGAGGATCACTTGAGCCCAGGAGTTCAAGACCAGTTTGGGCAACTTAGCAAGACCCTATCTCTACCCAAAAAAAAA